ATACGCCTCTACATTCCTGCCAATCTGGTTGATAAAAACGGTGTTTATCATGCGCTGGAATGTAGCCGGTGAATTCTTCAACCCAAACGGCATCACCGTATAGCAGAATAACCCCTGATCAGTGACAAAAGCCGTCTTCTCCTGATCTTTCTTCCAGAGAGGTATTTGATGGAAGCCGGAATAAGCATCCATAAAGCTCATTAGCGCATGGCCGGCTGTTGAGTCGACTAGGCTGTCAATCTTTGGAAGCGGGTAGCTATCTTTTGGGCATGCTTTGTTCAGATCTGTGTAATCCACACACATCCGCCAAGTACCGTTCGGCTTCTTTACTAGAACGACATTTGCCACCCAATCCGGGTAGTAGCATTGCCTAATGAATCCAGCATCCAACAGCTTTTTGACCTCAGCCGCTGCCGCTTGAGATCTTTCTCCACCATGATCCCTCTTTTTCTGCCTAACCGACTGCTTTTTGGGATCTACGGCTAGCTTGTGGACAGCAAGATCCGGGCTGATGCCTGACATCTCTTCCACTTCAAAGGCAAAGATGTCTTTGAATTCCTTCAGCAGCTGGAGCAAGCCTTCTCCCAACCGTTCGAAGGCTACCGTCCCGACCTTGACTGTTCTTTCAGGACGGCTGTCATCTAGGATGACATCAAGGCAGTCACCAGCCGGCTGAGGTCGTTGGTCATCTGACCTTTCCCCGGCTAGTGATTGCTATTTCTCCTTTTTGACGGGTGCCAGTTGGTCCGCCTTTCTTTTCATACTGGCTGCCCTTGGAGCCGGGACTGCTGGATCGCAGTTATCAATATCTATGGGCTCGCCCTGGCCGGCTGCACCCACAGTTGTCTTGACGTCAGAGAGATAGCACTCTTTTGCCGTCTTCTGGTCCCCGCTTAGGGCACCGACTGTACCATCATCCTTTTGAAATTTGACCAACATGAGGGACGGGATGATGACAGTCTTAGATGCGTTGAGGGTAGGACGACCAAATATCATGTTGTAGGCGGACAGCTCCTCCACAACTAAAAACTTGACTATCATGTGGTGTCCTTGCCCCTTTTCACCCAGCCGGATCGGAAGATCTATGCTTCCGACCGGATGCACTACTCCACCCCCAAAACCAACTAGTGGGTGAGGAGCCTGGTGCATGTTACCGGATGTGTACTTGAGCTTGGTCAAGCACTGATAACTGATTAGGTCAGACGAGCTCCCGGTGTCTATTAGGATCCGGCCAACCTTCTGGTTGGCAACCTTGCATTCGATGACGATGGGGTCATCATGAGGCCGCCTGACCTTGCCCCGGTCCTTTTCAGAAATAAGGACCTCAGGGAAGATGTCTTTCGACGCCTGGCCCTCATCCACTGAGTTGACCAGCTTCCTGATGTTGTCTTTGGTGCCCCGGATGGTGGGACCCCCTCCGGCAAAACCGCCTGCTATGGTGAAGATGGTCTCTTCATCCGTCTCGGAGTTGACTGGGCCGGTTTTTGCCGCCTGCCCTTTCTTGGCCTGGGCATTACCCTTAGCCTTGGGTAGATAGGATTTTAGGGCCCCCTCATCTGCCAGACGGTCTAATAGGCGCCTGAGGCTATAACAGCCATTGGTGTCGTGGCCAACATCCTCATGGTATTGGCAATACTTGCTCTTGTCCCGTTTATTCACGGGGCTTTTCATTTCAGCCGGTTTGTCGAGAGACATCCGGTCTTTGATTTCCAGGAGGATGGTGGAGCAATCTTTTGTGAACTCGTATTTGGGGACATATGGTTCTGACTTCCGCCTGATCTTCTGGGCCGGCTGTCCTGATCGGTCAGCTGCTCAGACCCCTTTTCTCTTTTCTTCCTTTCTTGCCGGCTGATGCTGTTGCCGGCTCTCTTTTTTGTCAGACTTTTTATAATCTGACGACTGCTTGATAGCACAAAGCTCCGTCGCCTGTATATAGGCTTCAGCTTCAATTAACGCCTCTTGGAGGGTAGCAACCCTCTTCCGGACGAGGTCAAACTTAAAGGTCGACCCATCCTTCAGACCTCGAAAGAAGTCTGTATAGGCCACTTCGTCTGATAGTCCTGGAATCTGAATTCTCATCAGATTGAACCGTCTGACGTATGACCGGAGGCCCTCCCGGTCGCCCTGCTGTATTGCCCCTAGGTCGAGGCTAGTCTTTTTGGCAGGAATATTCATTGAGAAATTTGACGTAAACAAGTACGCCAAAGTTCGAAAGCTGTTGATGCAACCGGCTGGTAGGTTACCAAACCACCGCTAGGCTATGCCCTTGAGGGTAGCCGGGAAGCATCGACACCAGACGGCATCATCTAACCCCTGGAGGTACATGAGGTTAGAGTAGGCCATTAGATGGTCTTCTGGGTTGGTGGTGCCATCATAGGCCCCCACCAAAACATTCTTGATCTTAGGCGGCTGTGCCGCCTGGGTTATCTCTGGTGAGAACGCCGTTGGCTGTTCCCCCAAATTTAGCAGGCGCAGCTGCCAGTCCGTGGGTTGGAACGGCTGCTGCGCTTGCCCACCGAAAAGACCCGGTGACATGAAAGGGGATCCACCCAACCCATTCGTTGTGCCGAATAGGCCAGGCTGGATCACTTTGGGTCCAGACCGGGCAGAAGCTTCGCCCGTCTGGCTCCTAAGGTTCGTTCCCGTACGCCTGTGTGAGACGTCATGGAAACTGTCCGGGAAGGTCGACGTTGAGGCCGACGCAGACGCCTGACCTCGCTTCTCTTGGAGAAATGTGCGGGCGTCTGAGAATGTTTTCTTGGAGCCATCCGGCTGTACGTGCCGGATGGCCTTTCGCAGCTCCCCTTGAGGAAAACGGAGTCTGCTTGGATCAAACCTTAAGCCCTCCCCCTCCTTTGGCTTGGGATGAGGGGTAGGAACTCGTTCTTTGACCGCCTTCTTTCCAGAAGGCTTCTTGGCCGGCTGACCCTTCTTTGGAGTAGCTGACCGGATGAGGCTCTTGATCTCACCCTTGAAACTATTCATGAACGACATGAGTTCGTTTCTTGTAACGGGGGCTGAGCCCTCCACCGTTTGGGCAATTCCAGCCGGTTGCCCGGCTGGGTTGTTGGGAGCAGCTTGGCTGATTTCCCGTTCTCTTCTATCTTTAGCACGAGGGTGCTTCGTTCTGAAAGACCCATCCGGGGCCACATATGTTTCAATTTCGTCGCCACTTTCATGGTCTGTCTGGACCTCAGGCTCGACCACAGGCCGTTTGCCCTGATTCGGTGACACAGTATCAGAAGTCATCTTAGAAGTACTCTCCCCACAGACGACGCCAAATGTTTCGGGGTTTTTTTGATGTGTCCTGCGGGAGAGTTACGATTCCAAGAATGCCCTTCGACGCCTGTGCCTGCAAAATCACGAAGACTCCTGGGGGTAGGAGCTCCGCCTCCGACGATCAAGTTAGTAAAGATACGAGAGGTAGAATGCACGTAATGTGGAAGTTACTTCTCGAGTAATGGGAGAATTCCGCAATTAATATTGCTCGGGGTAAGTGTGTTTCTTTTTGAGGAGTATTCAATGTGATCAACAAATGTTCCAGCCCCCATTAATGAGGGTCCTTCCACTATTTATAGTGGGGAAGGGATGGTTACCCTTTTAGGGTTTAGAGGACACGTGTCAGCAGAGGATTGGAGCCCTGCTGACCAATGGCTGGATGCCACGTGTCACTAGGCCATTGGGCCATGTGATTAGGGTATTTTTACCCCAAACATAAAGGACCAAACTTTTGCCCCAAAATCACATCCCCATATTGCATAATTCTTTAAAAAGATTACAAAATTAGTCATGCATCAATTAGAACTTCAACAAAAATGGTTTCACAAAAACCCATCAACCAATAACTCAATAAAATTAACTGGAATTGAATAATAAACAATCATCAATTAACACAATTTGTTTCACATACAAAATTGAAATCAAACTTCTTATCTAAATGATTAGAATATTTCAATAAACATTAATTCGATTCGAAGTAAAGCGTGAAGGAGGGCACTTACCGGAGAAAATGGAGAGTGGTTTACAAGAACAGCAAAGCGGTTTGCAAATGTTGTTCAATAATGAAGGACTCAAGGGGTTTGCAGATTGCAGAGTTACAGAAGTTTATGAAATGATGATGTTTAGATGTTAGCATGGTCATAAAAAAAAGAAAAAAAAAAGAAAAATCATTCATATATATGGCGTTGTTTGATTGCTCTTGCATTTATAGCATATCAACCGGGTTCGATCCAAAATCAAAGCAATGCTAACTAAAGTAGGAGGGATCTATCCATCTACTACCTCCGTGGCTCCGTTACATATCATTTGCAACGGTTTGACATAAAGTAGAGAGGGAAAATGTCTAATCGTTGTAAATAATATATAACAGAGTTAGTATAAAAAATCCCTAGCTGAAAAGTTACAAGTTCGATGTTCGACCAATACAATGAGGTTATTTCAATGTTTAATTTGCAACTTTTGAGTAATTGTATCATAATTAGATTAACTATTATCTGTTGAAAAAGTTCGTCGGGGTGTCAAACAAGCCAAGTGAACCAATTAAATTCCCAACAAAAATAATAAAGAAAGTGAACCAATTAAATTAACCACCAAATTTTTAAACAACACAAATATTATTCATTTAAAGTTCACTAATGTAACTTCAAAATACGTTATTAGTTGAACAATTTGGCTATGGCCCATATTGCACAAATAACATAAATTGGAGTTAATTAAATCCATCTGAAATGTAAGTAGACTATTTACAATAAAAGATTTTGTTACCATTGTTAATTCACTTATATGGTAAGTAAGAGAGTAAGCAATAGTTCAAGTGGTTAGAGTTTCCTTCACGGATCCATGTGATCGTGAATTGATTCTCATTACTTGCCTTTATGACCCCTCCCCCCTCTCACTCTCACACACACACACACACACAAAAAAAAAAAAAAAAAAACTATTTGGTAAGTAATTTTAGTTTTGAGTTAGGTCAAGTTATCTAGTTGGGTCAAGTTTGAACCACTAAAGCAACAAGCAAGTCTAGTAGTCTAACTATGCATTCCGTATTCTCAATTGACCCAACAAGAAACAAGAGCAAAAAAAAAGCAATCCAACACATAAAGGCCCAAAATCATCGCATGAAATCCAGACAGCAAACAAACAATGTTCTTCGTCATTTAGCAGCACACTTGGAAATACTTGCTTCTCATGCTATATTTGGAGAAATTCAATGAAGATTTCAAAACCCTTTTTGCTATCATCTCTTTTGGTGCTACTATCCTCGATAATTATAGCCTCAGTTTTCATTAAAACGCCTCAGAATTCCAAGGACATCATCACTATGACGGAAGAACAAGAAAATGGGGCATCAATTTTTAAACAATTTGGAGTGAAGATTGACAAGAACCCTCCTCAATCTAAGCTTGATGAACTTCAAGTCAACACTTGGTCCAAGTAATATTCAATTTCCTTTCTTTTGATCATCAAATTTATTGCTTTTGTTTGTTTTGTTGATGGGGTAAAAATTTAGTCTTCAATTTAGGGTTTTAATCAAAATATGTTTTTTTTTTTTGGCGATCAAGAAATTATCTTTATGTAGTAATTAGAATTATTAATATGCAGTTTTGATTGTAATGTATGAATGTATGATGTTCTGGTGAAATACATGACTATGTTTAACAATTACATTTAGTGTCGCAGGACATATTTTGTAATTAATTGGAAAATGTCCTAATTTTTTAAAGTAATATTTGTGAATTGATATGATTGTATAAACTATAATGCCATAACTGGATGCCTGAGCCCTGAGGGTAGACTAGTGGTTATTAAATAGCTTGTGTGTTTATGGGAAGATTAATCTGTAATGTGTATTGAAGAGTTTGTTCAGTATACACTGAAATACTCCGATACTCGGACATGGGTATTACTAAGAGAGGATTAAAAGTATTGTGGTTGTGTAGCTGGGTAGGTATGGCCGGGTCTGTGATTAATCGCAAGTTTCGATTATCAAGCCCAATTAACCGAAGCTTTGGGTGGTGGTGATTGTCTGAGCTCTACTCTTTATGGATAGTTGTTATCAACAAAGTCATCAACAGAGCTGCTAATCTTCAGTGTAATTTACAAAAATTAAACTATTAAAGGTTATGCTGAGTTTTAGGGGCTACTTTGTGGGTTCCATGTTCCACCCCCAATCGCTTCCTTAGTTTAAGAGGCTAGGCAGGGTGCTATAAGAAATGATAAATAGCTAAATACATCTCAAAGACAAGGTTTGAATAAACTTGCCTGCTTTTGAATTTGAAAATGTGTATGATATATTTTGTCTCAATTTACTGTTAGTCTGTTATACGTAGTAATTACATTAATATGCCTGAATTGAGATTGCTTGCCAAATTGTTGAGATTGGGCAATAGCTTTTTGGGGTCTTGTATGAGACTCATTGATGAAGCTAAGCTTATGATTCAATGGTTTCAAGGCTTCAAGTGAAAATTTGATTTTGTTGGTTCCAAAGCTTGCTTGTTATGGCCATTGGGCCTTCTCTCCTTTACATTGATAATTTGCCGAGAATCATTGTGCCTTCTAAGGTTGTAAACTTTGGATTGATCAGAACAAATACAGTTTAACATAGCGCTAAATACAGGCTTGAAGGCCTTGTAATGCTTCCCTTTGTCAGTTAATTTTAACTTATACTCTAGCTGATACGATGAACTGGACAAGAATATGAACAGGACAGTACATGATAGAAGAGTTAGAGTATCCTGTATTGCTCTTGATTGGCAGTAGCTTTCAATTGAACCAATTCCAATCCTTGCAGCAAGCCTTTTATCCTTCCCTTTTCCCTTTGTTCTCAAGACATCAAAAGCTGTGTTCATCATTCATTTTTTCGAGGAGAGATTCCTAAAATGTACAGCTGGTGCAAATATGTTCTCTGTATGACAATTTTTTTTACACTGATGCTTTGATCCATACATTTTTCCTTGCTAGCCGTTGGGAGGTACACCATACTACTCTGTCTAGTTCTTGTTTTTGTTGGCTTGTTGTTGTTTGCTTGGTGACTGTTTTATGTAATAATCTTGGGGATGCTCTGGTACTTGAAAGACATTAAACACAAATGCTAATGACTAGCCTTTGCCGAGTCACACATATATTCTTTGCATTAGAATATTAACTTGTCTACTTTCACATATACTTGTCAAGTTGTGGATGAATTAGAAATATACTGGCATTGTGTAGCTTGTGAAATCTGGATCACTGACTGAGAAAACTCTCAAGAATCTCTTGGCATATTTTGACCTTTTGAGTTTATGTAGGATAATTTTGGAATAATGACCCCAGACTTTTGACAGTTTATACTCCAATCTCGGAGATCAACTAGGAGTTCCTTGTAAAATCTGCATATTTTGTATATCTATCATATATCATACATGCATCTTGTCTTGGATGTATTTATCAAGCTGATTTTCTTAAGGCTATTGCCTTAATCTAACACAAATTGTGAATAGATGGAGCGGTCAGCCAATGAAAATTCCATGGACTTTTGAAGCGGAAGAGACAATGTACCTGCTGGAGGGTAAAGTGAAGGTTTCGGTTGATGGGCAGGAGGGATCTTTTGAAATTGGAGGTGGAGACTTGGTTGTATTCCCTAATGGAATGAAGATCACTTGGGAAGTACTTGAAGCTGTGACCAAGCATTATCACTTAAAAAAGTAATTGTAAGTACATATTCACGGCATTCCTAGATATGATCGTATTCATGTCTTATTTTCACTGATATATTAACCCTTGTATTCAACTTGTAAGTCATTACAGATATAGTTGTACGTGATTTGAAGAGAGATAAGTAGTCATTAAAAGTACTGTAACTTGTAAGGAGTGTTTAATGTTGGAGTGAAAGGGATTAAATGACTTCTTGGTGGTTGGCATTGACGACGATGATGCATGTTTTATGGATAATGTATCTCATAAGACTATAAGGGGGTGTTTGGTATCAAATTAGTAAATGTAAGGGAATGGAAACAAATTAGGAGGGGAAAGGGTAATATATAGTGTTACCCTTACTACTTGTTTGGTATTACTAAGGAAACGTAAACAATGATAACCAATCCCTTTCTTCTTGTTTGGCATAGATAACTTGGAAACAAATACCTTTCCTTCTATTTTTTGTTATCTTGGCTAACTTTTGCTAAACATTATACAAGGTAGAGCAACACTAATTACCATAATATACATATATATATATATATATATATATATATATATATATATTTTTTTTTTTTTTTTTTTTGAACCGATTACCATAATATATCATATGCTAGATATAGGCAAAGTCACATAAATTGTTGATTACAAAAGCATTGAAATTCTAGTATTCTAAAAAAAAAAAATTATATAAAAAAAAACATTCAAAAACCATTGAAACATTAACTCCAATAACAACTTAGGACAAAACTTTCTACTTCTTCTTAAGAAGATCAATTGCATATTGTTTCTTCATATTAGTTGGGGCTTGATAGAAGATGCGAAGCTTATGTTCTTCGGCCATGAGAATTGTAGCAACCTCCAAAGCTTCGGATGAAGAAATTCCATCTAACTTCATCACCTCATCCAAAACCTTGTTCACTTTTTCATCCATTATTTGCTCTCTTTCTTCCGCTTTAGACCATGCACTAGCCATAGTCCCAAGATTAACATTGATATTTTCAAATATCTTCCCAAAATTGTTAGATACATCATGGAGGGAGGCCACCAAATCATCATCATCATTCCTACACAAACTCTTCAAAACTACTTTGTTCTTTCCCTTCACCTTAGCCTCCTTTGCCTTAGAACGTTTTCCGGATTGAGTAGTGGAATCACTTGCGGAAGAATGAATCGTAGAAGCCTTCACTTTTGCCATTTTTGAAGGAGTTGAATGATCATCCTCTATCTTCCGTTTTCTAGATTGACTTGTAGAAGAATAAGTGTCCGAATGAGTAGAATTCACATCATCTTCTTCATCACTCTCGACATTCAATGGTTGCTTATCAATCTCTTGATCCATATCTTCTATAGCATCAACAAACGACTCACTTGCATCTCCGGTAGCTTTGTATTTTGCATAATTTTTTTGCTAGAGTGTAATAATGAACGAATGGAACTCCAAACAACCCCTTAGCTTTCTTATGAGTCTTCCATATAAGAGATAAAATAATTAAATTAATATTTTTTATGCATATACTAGACCTTCAATTCTGCTAAAATTTCTGATCTAAACTATCTTTTTAAAATTCTGACATAAACAGGGATAAATTGAAGTAGTTTAAATTAGATGAACAGATGCAGCATCAACACTGATTTCTGTGCTACTATGAACCTATGAATCAATAAACGTCAGAACTGTTCAATAATGACATGCAAGGGTACCCTTTAAGAAAAAATATTTCCAGCATTTGGATCTCTTTATTAACATTTCAATACAATATAAAGGAGGCATTAATGTAATAAAAATACATACACATAACACATTTGTAATCTCTTACTCTATCCAACTTTTCTTCCATCCACCCACCTATTTACTCCATCTATCTTTCTATCTTACATTATCAACCATTTTTACACCCATTCACCTTTCTCAGTATTACCTATGTAAAAAGAATCTACGATAAGAGGAGAAAAAAAATATATCGGAAGGTGTATATCTAATCCAGTTGTTGAGAAAATCAGTAAAATCAGTCTTGAGCTGTAAACTCATTAAAAATTCAGGTAATGAGAGAATATATAAGGCATAATGTAAGGGGGATGCAGCAAGGTAGCAACAAAATATACATTGACTACAGAAGCATATAATACAGAAGCAGTTACCACACAAGCAGATAATACAGAAGCACCGCTCTCAAGCCGCAATTAGGAAGTACACGATAGATCATCTCTTCCAACTTATTCATGTAACCATTCTTAAACCCATTCTCACACTTCCACTTCGGATCACAACTCAACTCATGCAAATATCTTATTAGAACCGCGTCTTCTTCATACGTCCAATACCTTTTATTTTTGCCTCTTCCTCGATTGCTTGCCTCACCTTTAGCTTGACTAGCCTCCATCTACAAAAAAAAAGTAGGTTAAAAGGCATATTAGAACTCAACATAACAAATTACAAGGCTAATTACAATAGAACATATCATACATAACAGATTATAAGGCATATTTGAACTGAACAGAACATAACATATTATAAGGCATATCATACTTTTTGTGTTATTGACCATGTCTACCTCTCGCCCTCCAATCGTTAAACATATCTTGGGCTAATGTGTTTCTAAAATTGGTCCAATGATCTGAAGTAGCAACACTTGTAATAAACTCCCTCTCATCATCAGAATCACTCTTGGAATCATCATCGGATTCACTCAATTCATCTTCTTTTATATCATCCGTAGGCATGAATTTTCTAATTAGATTATGCAATAAGCAACAAGCCATCACGATACGTCCATGAGTTCGAATAGGGAAAAATGAAGGACTTCTAAGTATACTCCATCTTCCTTTAAGTAGGCCAAAACATCTCTCAATCACATTTCGCGCCCTAGCATGTTTCATGTTATAGAATTCCTCGGCACTTTCGGGTTGTCGATCCGTCCATTCTTTTAAATGGTATCTTTGACCTCTATATGGAGCAAGAAAACCCTCACAATTCGTATACCCTGCATCAGCCAAATAATAATTACCTTCAAAGTTATTAAACAAAATGATTACTACCTACCAAAACTAACAAAACATATATAACTCACAAAAAAAAAAAAAAGATGTTCACTTACCTCGAGGTACCCTAAAACCGTTTGGTCTAGAAAGAGCATTTTGAAGTACACGCATATCATGGGCCGAACCTTCCCAACCAGGAAGAACATAAATAAATTGCATATTAGGTGCACAAACACCCAATACATTCATAGCAATTGTTCCTTTTCTTGTTCTCTACTTTGGTCGTTCTTGTGAAGGCACATTTACATTAATGTAAGTCCCATCTAATGCCCCTAAACAATTCTACAAAAATAGGAAAAAATATTACTTACAAACAAGCAAAAATAAGAAAATCCTAGCAAAACGTAGGGGCTTTGAAAATACCAATACCTTGAAGGATTTCCACCTTTCATCTTCACAATCATCCGATATTGGTGTGGGATTGTAAAGTAGTACTTCATGCAACTTGAGAAAATCCCTTAGACAAAGGTGAAATTGTCGGCTCACGGTTTCTCCACTTCTAAAGAAGTATTGTCTAATAGACCTATTCTTCTTATGATGAGCCAACGTGTATAAAAACATGGCAACTATCTCTTGAAGCGACATGTTTTTTGTTCCACTCAAACCCCCAATGTCTCTAAGCATCTCACAAATAATATTGAAAGTTCTTCTATTAACGCGAAGCTCACTCTTGCATTTCACATCACTCTCCCTATAAAGCCCTCTCAATACTAACATTCGTAACAATTTTTTGTTTCTTTTCCTTTCTTTTATTTGAACCCCCCTTATTGTAACAACGCAAATTATATACCACATCCAATACATCATCAACATAATAATAACCATTGCAATTACTAATTGTATTTGTTATAGTTTTTTCTTCCTTATAGAACGCATAAGTCGAGCCATTGTACAAGAAACACAACAAATGGAAATTGAACCTGACAAACGGCAAAATTTTCATGATACGTTAGAGAACGAGATGAATGTCACATATTCTATTAGCCAAGATTACAGTCAACTGCATAAAGATTGCGTTGCAACACATCGAGAACTTGAGTATGGGATGTTTTCCCAAGGAGATTAGTAATCATGAGCTAGTTTATTTGAATATTTCTCTTATGATTGACTAATAATATTAACTATCTACTCCTTTTCCTGCATCTGATTTTCATCAAGTACCCACAGAAGAAGTCATATGGACCAAAGCTGAGGGTCTGTATAATTGGTTTTATTTTTACTTTAGCTTTGGTGTGGTATCTATTGTTAAAGCTGCCTAAATCGTTGCAAAGGGGATATTCTGGCTTACCTAGTGCAAATATGGACTTGTAGTCCCACCACTCAATGTTTCTGTCAAGTCTCAGTCATATTTTTTCTTAACCAATCTGAACAATTGGACTATACTTTGATTATGATTTCATGAATTCAAGGGAAGAATATTATTGCAATTGCTTAAGCTTTTAGAAATCATTAGAAGAAATCAAAATTCTAAACAAGCAACTTCCTAATGCACTTAAAATCCAAAAAAAATCCCCAACTATACAATCAACCCACCAAAAGTAAACCAAAATCATGGAAAAAATTGGGGGAGTAACACAAAATAACCAACAAAAAAATGCAGCAGTAGAAATCCTAAGACATCAGTTTGTGTTACTAGTAAGCATAAAATCAAATTTGGGGGAAAAGAAGCCAAATAATAATAGCATAAAATCAAAATTTGCAGAACAAAAAAATCAGTAAGTATTATTTCAACAATACTGATAAAAGAAGCCAAATAATAACAACAAATTATACCATCTAATTTAAGCATAAATCGAAATTTGGGGGAAAACACAAAATATACAACAATTACATGCAATAATAGCTATATATACCATCTAATTTAAGCATAAAATCGAAAATTGATATCATGTTAGCAATAATGTCATGAAACAAAAAGCAGGTGATTCAATTGAGAAAAATAAAACTCAAATAAAAATGATAAATTAGGACAGAAAACCCTAGAAATTAACACCATAAATCGAAAATAGCAATCAACACAAACAAAAAAATATGGATCGCAAATCAAATTAAGAGCATGAATCGAAAATACCTCCTAAATAGCAATCTTTCGATATACAGTAGAAAAATCAAAACACAATCAATCAAACAAATTTTATATAAATTCAACACAAACTCAACATCTAGGGTTCTTAATCAAAAAAGTGAGAGATCAAACCTTGAGATTGTGGATTTCTGGAAATTTGAAGTACGAAAATTTAGGGTTCTTCAGCGAAATTGTGGCTTCGATCGATCAAAGTTGAGGATTTTGAGGGGTGATCTGTTGTATGACAGGAGAGAGAATAGATAGAGGAAAGAAAGGGGATTTGTTTCCCCAAATTTTACAGTGGAAACAAAGTAATGGAATGGGTTAGAGGAGGGAAACGGTTTCTATTACATAACTCTTTAACCAAAAATCTTCTAACGAAAACGGTAACCCGATTCCGTTTCTAGCCCTATAAAAAGCCCATACCAAACATGCTCTAAGAGTATAAGACCCATGTAACAATATACTGTGTATGTCCTAAAAAGACTTAAAAGAGGTACACAAGTAGTACATAAAGAAAAGCCAACATCAGCAAATATAAGGTGTGGTCCTGAAATTGGCTAAATGTTACGAGTATTTAGGATTTTGCTTCCCATAATTTTTGACTAGACAATAGTACATATGCCTGACGTGCACAATATAACATGGTCTCAAAAAGATGATTGGGAGCATTTTTTATTTTTATTTTTATTTTTATTAATTTGACAACAAGATAAATTGAAATTGAGTGTGTATGAACAATAAGTATAAAGTATAAACCCAAAAGAGACAAAGAATAAAATTACAAAGAGAAAGAAGCTATGAATTTAATCATGAAACTTGCATGAGTAAGGCAAACCTTTAACAAAGGATAAAGGGTCTTCATGTATAAGGGAAGTGAATTACAAGAACAATTCGAGAGGACTATAAGGCTTTGTTATACTCGGGTTATTTTCACGTGTATCAGGTCTAATAAGTTAGTAATATATCATAAGCTCTTCTAAAGTGAAAATTAGGTGTATAAAATGCACCCTAAGTTATAGCCTCTATTCTCCCCACCTATAGATTAAGTTTGATAAATTTAGGTTAGATGAGATAAGTGAAGTTCATGATTACCTTAGTTGTAAATTGAACTTGGATGACCCTTATTAATCATTATCTAAATTTATTTTTCAAACCTATCCAAACTTGTTATGAAAAACGTAATATTACATGAAAAAAATTAAGATGAATACAACAAAATTCATAAGACTCTTGGTAAAAAGAGATTGTGTAACTAGTGTAAAAGTCAACATAGTGCAATATTTGTATAATGGAAAAAAATTACATGAGCAAAAGGTACCATTTTCATTTTCACCCCATCCTCGATCCTCATCATACTTATGTCTTTGTCTATTTTCATGAAAGCAAAGCCAACAGTCTTTAACACAACAGCAGCTATACATTAACATTTAGCAGTGCAATCAATAAATATAATGTTGCCCCCACTTTTAAAAATTATCATAAGTATCACACCACATATTCACATTTGACAGCTTAGAATGCTAAGACCATGACTCAGTCTCTATCAGTCACCAACCAAAATAGTAGTAGTCTCCAACAAGGGTCCCCTTTTTTATCCTATAGAAATCTTCACTCTTGTAGCTTAGGTCTTCCTTTCTGCTTTGTTCTTTTCTCAATTGTATATTGTATGATTGTATTATGGCAGGTCAAGGTTTAAAGCTAATTCGATAAAACTAAGAGGTTATTTGGTTGACATAGAAAAAATGAGGTTCGAATTTATTTAGTGAATGAAAGAAGGTGTCATTTGATCGATAAAAACATGATAAGCCAAAAACCAATAAAGTCAAACCATTTATCGAACATAGTCTTTGTTGTATACGAATCATACTTTGAATTAGTAATGATTTTGAATAAGACGTTAGAAGTTACTCAAAATGTTATTGTCGAAAAATCGTGTGTAATAAATTTGCTAGTTTAGCAATGCAACTGACTAGAAAATCAAACGATACCATAAAAAGTATTTGGTGTGCATTAAGATATCACAATCGAAATGTGATTGCTTATTTCTAGAAAAGAAAGAAACACAGGAAGAAAAGTGGCTTTGAGTACATATATAAGTAGTCAGAGTCAGAGAGATATTTCTACATAAGCAATTAAAACTTGCTTAATCAATTATGATAACATCTCATTGTGTTTGTTGGATTGAGTCCATCAGAAGTTCTTTCTAGCAGCTTCCTTAATTTAATCTAACATGACATTTCGCCCGAAAGAAGAACATTCACATTCAAAGATTGACCAGAGATGAAAAGTCAGCAGATCAAAAATGAGGTTACTCAACCCTGTGAAAGCAAGTGAAATCGGAAAGTTAAATTCTTGCTTCCCGGCGAAGATATGCCAGTGTTTCAGTCAATCAAAAAACCCAGTTTTCTACATTCGCTGTAGATTTAAGCCAACCAAACAGCCACTAAAAACTTAAACCAGAAAATTAAAATCTTGAGAACAATACCATAAACACGAAAGCAGCGACTACATGTGCTGCAAGCCTGTAAGGGCTGTAACCATACTTGGCGCCGTTGGATCTGGTATCCACTATCTCCTTATTAAAGAATAAGCAGCATCTCCACAAAATCAGAAGATGTTTATAGTAACAAATCCAAAGTTTAAATCCACATTTCCCAAAACATCTCCACAAGAAATTGGAGTAAACAAATTCCATAGCTTGAAATCCATTATATATATATGCACCGATACTACCTCGTATCCAGAATTGTCTCATTTACTATAGTAGGAATAATTCTAAATCCTTGATCAGAGTCAATCCAACTAGGCCAACATTTTGGATCTTAAATCTCAATTTAGGAGCTCCATAGATTCTCTTTGTGATCTCCTTGAATTCAGGATCATACTTGAGAGTAGCATCTTTCAGAACTATGGGTGGACATATTTGCTACAAAAGGTAATACAAACATTTTCTGCAGCAGAAAACTGGCAGAGTACCCTTGCAGGTCCAGAGTTCCTTCTATAACAGAGTAAGAACATCGAAAGCTAAATCGACAACCATGGACCTTCCCAACAAAAGACTTGAAATGTTACAAGTGACAAAATGCACAAACTAAAACAACAGTTCTCTAAATTCTTGAGAGAGGATACATAGGAAATTAGGAAGCCTTCGCTCAGTAACACAACTGAACAAGAAATTTCCATCCAAAACCGAGCAAAATATTAGGCCAATAAGTATAATATGATTATCAATGAAATCTTTGCGAGAAGAAAGCAAAAGAAGAACACATAAGAAGGCACCATGTCCTAGTTTTATTGAAATTGCATTGCACTACTACGTGTCCACGAATTGGAATAAGTTCTATTAATGATGAATTCTACATTTGCTGAAACTACAACGAATTACAATCTCAAGAGTAAAAATGAGAAAAGCAAAAAAGATGGTTCTTGTACAGCTTATAATGCCCTAACAATGTTCTGTAACCCCAAAACTTCCTCCACCAAGGGGGGAAGCAAGTATTCTCTCATAATAAGGCATCGTTAAGATTACACAGACAGGACATAATCGGAGCAGCAATGAGTAAACAAACCTCGAAAAAACAATCATAAGAAGAATCAATGAACAAGAATTTAGCATAATCCTACCGTGGAAGTGTGGAACATTGAATAATTTAAGCAACACCAAGACTCATCACACAGCACTCTTCTTCCCTCCTGGTTTATAGTAATTGAGGTACCATCTAACGAACTTCTTCAACCCGGTTTGCAGATCCGTTGTAGGCTTATACCCAAGCTCCCTCTGAGCATAGCTAATATTAGCATGTGTATACTGCACATCACCATTCCTAGGCAATTTCATCACCATCCTCTTCGCCTTCACCTTCAACAGCCTCTCCAATATCGAAACAAGATCAGAAACAGGAACAGGCGACGTATTCCCCAAATTAAACACTCTCAATTGAGCAGCACCACTCTTCTTACCCCCACTACCAGTACTCTTCTCAGCAGTATCCAATGCCCCTAAACACCCCTTCACAATATCATCAATATAGGTAAAATCCCTAGCCACTGTCCCATGATTTGCAGCCTCGAAAATCGGTATCGATTTCCCCTTCAATATGTCCTTAGTAAAGAAAAAATATGCCATATCTGGTCTACCCCAAGGCCCATATACAGTAAAGAACCTCAACCCAGTCAAAGACAGTCCATATATATGATTATAAGTATGAGCAATTTCTTCCCCAGCTTTCTTAGTTGCAGCATACAAACTAGCAGGTTGATCTGTCCTATCTTTTTCAGAAAATGGTACTTTTGTATTCAATCCATAAACAGAACTAGATGATGCCCAAACAATAGCAGGTTGTGGATTTGCAGATTTACAAATTTCTAACAAACTAACAAATCCAGCAATATTACTATGAACATATGAACCAGGATTTTGCATTGCATACCTAACTCCTGCTTGTGCTGCCAAATGCATTACATGAGTAAAAGCCACTACCTCAAACAACTTCTTCAAAAGTGCTTGATCATTAATGTCTCCTTCAACAATGAACACCCCGCTTCGCTCAAGCAGAGCCTGCCTCGCTCGCTTGAGCGAAGGATCATAGTAATCGTTGAAATTGTCAAAACCCAATACACCATCACCTCGCCGCTTTAAGGCGGCCGAGACGTGGGTGCCAACGAACCCAGCAGCTCCGGTCACAAGCACGGAAAACCCATTAGATGCACGAACTTTAGCCGAGTTTCGAACCCGCTTCTCCCATGATGGACCGCCCCAGGAGAAGGTCCGGAGGGAGCGGCGGGTTGTGTCTCCAATGGTGGATGAAGATGAAGATGAAGATGGAGAAGAAGAAGATGATGATCTGAAGAAGAACATTAGAATTAAACCCAGAAAAATGAAGGACCAAAATGTGAGTTTTACAAGAGGAGTTGAATGCCATCTTAAACGATGATGATGATGATGATGAATGTAGGATGATTTATCCATCTTGAATTTTCCTGGTGTTGATGGGTTGTTATCTAAATGAGGCATTTTCTACATTCAAAATCAAAACCACACCAACCCCCAAAAAAAAAAAATTAAAACAAACAAAAAAAAAGATAATTTTTTTGTTTTTTCCTCTCTTCTTTTCTTTGAACCTGCAACTATTTATTCAACAAAACCCAGAAAAAATTATGCAAAAATGGGGGATAAAATTTATGGGTTTTTCTTGAAATTGAGTTTTGGAATCTGGGTTTTGCTCAAAATGTGGAATTTTCTTTTTATTCAAGGGGAATAGATTGTTCAACAATGGAGATTTGATTTTTTTTTTTTTTTGGGTGTTTTTATTTTTCTCTCTTGTTTCTCTCTCAAAGTGAGCAGGATATGGAGTTGAAGATAAGGGATGG